CCCCCAACTGTGCAGGGCAAGGCTTTCTTCCCTGCCCACTGTGAGCTCGTAAAGAAGCCGTGGGAAGTAGGGCGTGTGATTTCCCTCACCTCCATCGCCAGCCATGGCCCTGCTTTGTGTGGATGGCAGTGTGATGTGGGAGGAAAGGCCAGAAGCCAAGCTACCTCCACTCACTGCGTGGCCTGGGTGCTCTGAGCCTCTGGGCTCTGTCTGCAAGTCAGGGGTGATGACTTTCACACCCATGGCACCAGGTGGATGGCGGTATCAGCCAGTGGAGTACCTGCAGCTATTCAGCTGAGAGCAAAGCTTGTGACCACAGGAGAGGCAGATTTCAAATCACTTTTATTATGCCTTATTCCACACCACAGGGATTCAGATTAAATCTGACACATAGAACTTCATGGCTGAGCATCTTGTAGATCAGTGGGGCACCATTTCTGCAGCCGATCTTTAAAATGAGCCAAGCTGTGAATTCTTTTAAAATTTTTCTTTTGTCTGCAAGAGTCCATAAAGTATTCAAGAATGTGGGAGCCATCCCCACTCCTTCAGCCAAAAGATTGGCTTTCGTTTTTTGCCTTTCCGCCACTACAAATCCAAAATGCACATCTACCCAGGCCCCATTTCTGTTCTCTGCTGGGCAGACCCCTGCCCTCCCTGCTGGGGGTCTGGAAGGGGCTCTTTGAGGTTTGCCAACATGTAGGAAATAGAGCCTGGACACCTGGTAGGTGTCAGAACCACACAAGATCCCTCAAAGTTCCATTTGGGACAACCTCTGTCATTTTTGAGATCTGCCAGCTCCCCCATAGCCAGTCCTGCACAGATGGATGCTCTGCCTTGTAGATTACCAGCCAGCCCCTCCTAAATCCCTGGACATCCAGGTGGTTCCTAGACCAGATGCTCCCACTGCCTTGAGCAGCTACTGGTCCAGTGAAGTGGGTGCACAGTCACAGGGCAGCCCACGCACGTGCAGAGGGCCTGGTGGGTCCTTGGAGAGGCAGCGGTGGGGGCTTCGTTGCACTTGCGCTTCTGGACTCTCCACTTCGTCTGCTCTCACTCCTCCTAACCTGCCAGGCGTAGCTTGCCAAACTAACCCAGATCCAGACAGCATGTGTTCCTTGTGTTCACAAAACCATTTTTAATATTTTGACAGGAAAAGTAAAGGTATCAAACAAAAGCAGATCATTCCGAAGGTAAACGCTCGCGAAACCCTCTAATGCCACCTGGCTGTTGCCCACTTGAGAGAGCCTGCCTCAAGGGGCTTCTGGAAAATGGGGGTGGGGCGGGGGCGGGATTTTAACTTCCCCGGCTTTCTAGTTCCTCCCTCCTCCCACTGTCATCCCTCCCCACCCCAGCTCCCAATTCCCTCCAAAAATAATTTTTCATGTCAGTGACTTGCAGCTGTCTTTGAGTTTACTTGCAGCAGGGCCTGAGATAGGGGACAGGCGTGTGTTGAGGGGCACTCCCAGGAGAAGCCTGAGGGGTCAGGAAGCAGCTAGGATTGGGGCAGGACTGTCCTGCACAGGGACAATGCGGTGCTTGTGTCCCACCACTGTATCACAGGCCTATAGGTATAAGCCACCCCCCAGGGTGGGACAGAACACAGCGTTCCTGGGAAAGGAGGCCCTTCGGCCAGGGTGGTCTCACCAGGAAGGGGCAGCTGTGCCTTGCTGACAGCCAAGACCCCAGCAGTTGGCCTTGGGTAAAGCACACCCAGTGCCCAGGCTGCTCTCCAAGTACAGAGTGCAGACAGATGAAATTTGCAAAAATAAGAACATCTTCTCAGTCTGGCCCACAGACAGGATAGCGCTAGTCCCCTTCATAGCTGATACTAAGGGTCAGCACGCGTGGGAGGACCCCCCGGAGAAGCACACACAGAAGCGCGGCGGGACTCAGCGCTTCTGTTGCTGTGTAGGGGAGGAAGGCACTCTGTAGCCTTTGGCTTCTGGGCACTCAGCCACAAAAGAGGCTGTAATCCATCCTCCGGGAGCTGGCCCCGTGTGCAGGATGCCGCCCAGGGTCACCCCTGCTGCCCACCAGGCCCACAACCTCTGCCCTCCCGCAGCACTGTCCCAAGAGCTGCCACCCCAGGGGACATAGCCCTGGCTGTGGGGACGTCTGTGATGTCTCCAGGTGCCCAGTGGGGCCTGAGGAGGGCAGGCCAGACCCTGTGTGTCTGTCCTAGAATCTGCTGGACTCCAAGTCCCTGAAGCTGATCATCAGCATGACCCTGCACGACCGGACCACCAAGTCCCTGCTACACCTGCACAAGAAGAAGAAGCCGCCGAGCATCAGCGCCCAGTTCCAGGTGGGCAGAGCGGCAGGAAGTGGCACTAGGCTTGGTCTGAGTTAGCCAAAGCCGACTCAGCGAGTCCTGGTCTTGGGGCTGCACGGCCTCGGCATGGCCTGACCTTGAGGCTGGACCATTCTCTGAGGTGGGAGCCGCCTTGTGCATTGCAGGGTGCTGAGCGGGATCCCTGATTTTCGCCCTCAGGTGTGGGCACCCTCCAGTTGTGACAAGCAAAGCTGGCTGGAGACACTGCCACAGACCCCCAGGAGAGGGAGGGGGGCAGAATCACGCCTGTTGAGAACCACGTAGTTAAAAAAGTAACGAGTTAGCGTATTAGTTAGCTTGACCACTGAGCTGTGTTCTTGGCCAATGTTCCCCGTTTTCCCTAGCCTCCAGGAAGCTCAAAGATAATTTTTTAAGGGAACCTAACAGCTGTTGACACCACTAGTGTTTTTGTCCCTTTCATTTTTCCTCAGTCTGAATCTTCTGTTCCCACTTTCACCTTTTTTACAATTACCCTACCTTGGAGCTCCCACAAATCCTTTTTGGAAACAACAGGCCAGAGGCCAAAATCACCACATCTAGTCCTGTCTAAGGCTGACACACATTTTTTAATTCCCAGAAGTTTCTCTGGTCCCACCCCTACCTTCTCCCTGAGACAAAAGAGCTGGGGGTGACCCTGAAAAAATGGTGG